ATCTGTATGACTCTGACTCCCGAGTTTTGGGAGTAAAGGCATGTACCTCTATGCTCTGCCTTCATGATAATCATTACCCAATCACTACTAAGGACATATGCTACTTAACATCAGACCAATCCCAATGACATTTTGATGCCCCATGGAAATGAAATTTGTAATGTCCTAAAACTAGTATGTAGGCAAGGCATGCTGGTACATGACTTTAATCCTAGCACTTGGGAAGCAGGTATATATGAGTTTGAGGCTAGCCTGATCTACATAGCAAGTTGCAGGCCAAGCAAAGCTGCATAGTAAGACCTTGTCTCAGAAAACAAAAAGCAAATCCTAGTATATATAGTCAGCTTAATCAAGCTTAATCAATGTCTTAACTGTTTAATGCCAAGACATGAACTCAAGCTCTTTAATACATTTTCTTAGAATGGGCTAGAAATTTAGTAAGTATATAAAATGAACTGAAGGGGTTTTCTTTACAGAACCATGTAAACTAGGCACAGTGATTCCTGCCTGTTATCTCAGGTGCTTTGGAGGCTGAGGTTCGAGGACTACCTGAGATTCTATCTAAGTTTCTTCTTGGTTCAGTGTTAGACACCATCATGACAAACATGGTAATACCTTGCCAGAAAAATAAATGAAATAAAACAAATGTAACTTTCTATATCTGAACTTTGTGCCTTTGGGAGTGATAAATATACTAAAGTCAATATCCAAACTTTAATCATTTTTATTGTTAAACTTCAACAGTGTCATAAAGAAATCCTTGACATACAGGAACTGTTGTTATTAACATAACTGGATTTTATTCTAAATAAAGGATGAAGGAAACAATGAATGGCTAGAGATCTTATCATTTATACTAATACTTGTCATAAAGCATGGCTCATAGCTGGCATCGGAACTGTATTGCTTCAGTTTAAGTTCCTTCTTCAAATATTCTTCCCATCAAAAGAGCACGGACTGGAAAGACTGATAACCATTCGTCATTTCCTGCTGCTGAGATTCTTTCATAATTTTTCTCCACAGCTTATCAATTTCCTTTTTAAGTTCACTTTGTGTCCCAGTAAGCAGAATATCATTCCTCCTCTCCAGGTCTTCCAAATTCTGTAAGAATTGTTCATGTACTTGTCTAATTGCTTTCCGTCTCTGGTTCCGAATAAATCTAGATTGTTGAAAAATCTTCTCCTGTTCTTGAAAATCATTCACTAGTTTGTCATGTTGTTCTCGAAATTTCTTAAAATCCTCATTCCACTGCTGAAACAGATTTGCAAATGCCTGAGCAGACTCTGCATTAAGCTGTGCCATTGCATCTTCATGTGAGTTCCAAACTTCTTTCATTTTCTGCTCAACTCCTTCAAAAGTTTGTCTAGAAGTTGTCTCCATTCTTTGCCTCTTAGCACTAAGAGCACGGTTAATGTCAACTCCAATTTTTCCAAGGATGACCTCTACCTTTTCCCCCGGATCTGTAAACAGTTCTACAGGACTTATCTTCCCAAGTGAATCAGATGTTGAACTCAGTTCTTCAATGTCACTCTGTTGTGAAACACTGGGGTGCTGAAAGTCATCATCAAAAGGATAAACTGGTAGATGTTCTTCCTCAGTTGGTGTGCTTTCAAATTCTTCAGGGTCCCTTAGTCCACGTCGACGGCGAAACATAATTGTTCCTTTTCTCTCATTCCCTATTTTGTCCTTGCTTCTCATTCCCTCTCAGGTCTTCCTCATCCCTAGCCACCTTCATTTTCCTGCTGCTCCAGCAAGGTTCACCACCACTTCCATGTTCCTGTCAATGACCTCAGCAAGGCCCACCACTGCCTCCATTTTCCCATCCATGACTACTGCAAGGCCCACCACCGCCTCCATTTTCCCCTCCACAACTTTGGCAAG